GTGGGGGAGGCAGGCAGTAGGGGGGCAAGGGTTGGTGGAGGCAGGGAATAAGGGGCACACACAGGTAGGGGAGAATGTGTCAGGGGACAGGCACAGGCATGGGGGTGTGTGGCAGGGGGCAAAGGGCAGGGGAGCAAGGGGTGAGTGTCTGACCCCTTGCTTGCTGCCACTGCTTTCCCCTGCCCCAGTGTGCGTGTGTTGGGGGGGGCAGGGAGGAGGAGGGTGTCTTAAATTCAAAGTTGTCTTGGATTTGGGTGTAAAGATGGTATTTCATAATAGTAGAATAATGCAGTGTTAGTAGCAACCAGTCCCAGAACGTTTTCTTTTCCCGCTTTTGGAGCATCACAGAGTGGGCTGCTGTGATTCTAATCCACCCTGTTTTGCGATTCAAAATGCATTAGCATGTCTGTTGGAAAATGTAGCTGAGCATAAAGTAAGTTCAGAAATCTTTCCTGGAGTTGTTTGCTTGACATAAAAATTAGTATGACGTGTATCACACTAAAAGACTTCAAAAGACCCAAGGAATTGCATTATCTTCTGTAGAGAGAAAATAACATCCCTGAGTCATAACAACCTCAAGTAATGAAAGAATGCACATTCTCTATGCTTCATTCTGAGATCTGGTCAGTAAGAGATTTTCTCTCTTCCCCCGTCCCCTCACCCCACCCTACTCCCCACCCCAGTGGATTAGACTTTGGTTGACTCTACCTAAAACGAAATGTAATGGCAAAGTCTTTTCCTTTGCAGGAGGTGAATTTCTAGAAACTAGTCATTAAGGTTTTCTTTTTTCATATATTTGTGCCAGTTTGCCATAAGGGCTTAAATATTTGATTTCTGTGCAGTTCTGGCTGCTGCTTGAAGTAGTTTCCTATTCAGTGTTTTTTGTATGTGTACTTCTAAGGCATTGAAAGAAAAGCTGGATATTTTAATACATTTCTAATCTCTCTCTTCTATTATACAGCTTATTATTTTCAAGGAAATGAAGGATTGGATAGAAGTGGTAGGTGGATAGAGTAGAGTGAAGACAAGAATATGCGTGCAGAACATTAATACTGTGCCAATTTAGCTGTCAGTCACAAGCAAATTTCATTCCATCTATGATTAGGCCTCTAGCTCAGTTAAAAAGTCATGATAAAGTTAATCACAGAGGACTAGTAAGTCAGGTTGCGCATTGCTAATTATTTTAGCAATTGTTCACCCAAAGTGTTACATTTGCGTTATGGCCTGGTGTCCCACATCAATCAAATTGTTTTATTGGATATAACATTAAGGCATTTTACTGCTTTTCAATTTTGGAGAATCAGTTTTTTTAGCCAATAAACTTGCTCTTAGTGTGAATGGTTTATGTACTGCGGGCATATTGATTCACTTATTACAATCTCCCAATATAAAGATTTTTGGAGCTTCAGGTATAGTAAATTTACTTTGAAGATCATAGTTTAGCATCTCAATTATTTCCAGCAAAAAAGAATCCTCTTGCTTGCTATTTATTTATTTTAATTTGTTTAAAATATTCCTATCCAAATCCTTCTAGACTTGTGCAAGCTTTATCAGGATAAGCAATTTGTATCAATGACCGAACTAAGTTAAAGTCCTTGGTTCAGGAATTACTAGATGAAATACCATGGCCTGTATTATGTAGGAGGTCAAGCTAGATGATCTTCACAGTCTCTTATAATGTAAAAAATATAAAAACTTCTTTCAGTTCTCCTTAAAACAATATTATCATGCTGCCCTCTTACTCCTCATTCCCCATTTTGAAAAAGCTTGAGAACAAAGATTGATCTAGCAGCAAGATTAAAGCCCACATGGTGCTTCTCTGTTTTCCATAATGATCTTATACTTGTGTTGAAAAGGCATGGCAATAGACTGGAACCATGTAATATCCCATATAAAAACCCCTTTGGGTACAAGAGCAGTTACTCAATGCTGTCCTCCGAGGCAGAGTAATGGAGCTACTCAGGGATGATTCAGTCTGTGTCTGTGAGGTTCAACAACTCCTGCTTAATAATATCAGAAGTAGATGGTAGATTTAAAAGATGCTTGCCTTTTGCCCATAACCAATAGGAGTCCATCTGTTAGTGAAACTAGTGTGATTTCTGTACTGTGTGAGTTAATCTAAAAATAGATTTTTGTCAAGGAATCATGGGGATTCGAGGTACAACTTCTGTGTAATCTCTCCCTGTCTAAAAGAAGCAAAAAGGAAAATCGAACTTCTAGTGGACTTGGAATTGTTTTCAACTCCAGGGTTTCATCAGTTGGGCTTTTTCCTAACAAACTACAGCATTATCAGCTTTTGAATCATAATATAAATTTCTGTTTTCTCCCCCAGTGCACCTGCAGGAAAGATATGGTAACAATATCCATGGATATCTTTGTGAGGAAATTCCAACCAGACAGATATCAGCTGTGGAAACAAGGAAAAGATTTATACACCATTGATCATACAAAGCCCACTCCTGAAACAACACCTGAGGTAAAGGCCTGGTTGCAGAGAAAAAGGAAAACAAAGAACCCTCCCAAATGGTAATCAGAATTCTTTATCCTCCATTTAATTAAACTTAAATACGTTGTGTATTTCTCCACTTTTTTTTCTATGCTGCTTTCTCTGTCATTCCACTTAAGCTGTTCATTTATTCTAGTCACAGTTAATTTGTATCTTCTTATAACTTAACTATGAGCTTGGGGGCAAACAAGTTTTTAATTCATAGTGATTGTATTAAGTGAAAAATGAATTCATTTTACAGCATGTAACAAAAATGCATAATTGAAGTTGATGCACATGAAGAGCAGAGCATTTCTTCAAATGCAGTATTAAGGTTCTGTTCACTAACATTTTCAATATAGTGGTGGTTTTGTCCAACATTGCCAGCCAGGACATCTTGAAGACAGTAGTTGTCTAAGTGCTATCTGTAGATTGACAGGTGGCATTCATATGAGGCTACTGTAGAGTCCCAGTAGCTGTTTACATCCTCTTGTAATAAACATAGTCTTCATAAGCTTGTAGATTGGATGTTCTAGGGAGAAACAAATACTTACTTTCATAAATCCGTCTGTGGCATCACCCTAGAGCCCTGAGTTTCTCCCTACGGTGCTACCACACGTCCCATGGAACAGATGAAGTTGCCCTGGGATAACTCCTTAACCCAGCAAGCCTCAGCTCCACTGCCCTTATGCAACACCCTGCAGTTGCAGTGAGGGATTCTCGGCCAACCCAGGCAGTGACACCATTTGGGTTGTGCAATAAATTATACTCCCCCCCCCCCCCGTTTCAGGGGAAAGGGAAGCCTGAAGTATACCTCTTCCGAAAAACC